AGCCCAAGCCTCTCTTGGAAGATGGGACGAAGGTGTGCACCAAGTCCATCACTTTTCCATTTCCCCTGAGCACATACTCTATGTACGACTTCTGGTCCTCCGATTCGAACCTTCGCTTGGCTTCGTTCCACACAATCTTTGGAGCTTCTGCCGCGGACGAAGCTGCTGGTGTTGCCATCTTTTCAATTCCCCCGTTTCTGTGTGTCGTCTCTATATCTCTGTTCTCTGTTCTTACCAAATACCCAAAAGGCTCAACTCTCTATATGGTGGGCACGCAGTTTGAACATGATAAATCAATTTTCCTCTTTCTTTTTTCCTTTTATTTATACAAGCAAATATTAGAGATGAGGGAATTAAAATTAGGAATTCGGGTGCAAGGTAAATGCCCTATCACTTAGCTACAAACTTCTTGGTTCATATGTAAGTTCCACATTTGTAATTTAATATCGAAAAACTCAGGAATCAAATCAGTTTGAGTAGTTTTTTTTTTTTTTTTTTGGTCATTGTTTGGTTTCAAAGAAACCAAAACGGGATAGATTGCAAACTGAGCCGGAAATACACGAACCAGGTAGAAGCAGCTAGACCTCAGATCAAGGCTAGAACCAAGCTTCTTACCCAGTCAAATTAAAACGAACAACAAACGCCAAGAAACAAAAAGAAAAGCCGTAAAACAGGAAGCTGAGAAAAGCCGCACCCCCAATAACCAATTGGCAAGGCACCCAACGCAAGACCAAAACCACCAGAGAAGTCACAGAAACCAAAGAACCGAGAGGAAGATGGTGATGGATACGCCATCACAGCTACAGAGAGCGCTACCATAATCCGAGAGGTAAGTGTCAAAAGCACTTTAAAAGCATCCTCAACAGCAATAGTATTACTGAGGAGAGACGCACCAGAACGTAACACGGTGGAGAAGATCCAACAACGAGACAAAGCCGCAAGGGATCGGAGGAGAACATTCACAGTAGGAAACAAAGACAAACGCACAAAAGCATAGCTGCCGACACCTCCAAAAAGAAGATAGAGGCATAGAGTAGAGGGGCTGATAGAGCATAAAAGCATCTTTCTGTGAGGAATTGTCAGGAAAATGCCCCAACCATGACAATTCCAAAATTGTAGATTCATGGACCTCTTGTGGCTGTCAAAGGCCAGCCACCACCGCCGTCAATAAGACCATTCTTAACCCTCAGTTCAAGGATTTCCAACTCTTTGGATGGACTCACCACTACCTCACACAGCGATGAGTCACCACTACCTCACACAGCGATGAGTCATTGATTGCAGACTTAGCCACACCAGTGGAGCCGTGTGCCCGTTTGCGCCCCCCTTTAGCACCAGCTCTAACCCCCACAGTTCCTCTAGTGAGTTTTAGAGAGCAGCCTGGGTTGAGCGACGGAAGAAATTTTTTCCTTTTTGACGGGGGGTTGCCACCTTCAAGGATAAATTTCTTCTTACTACGTTTCTGTTGTGTAGGCTGCTCCGTCTCTTTTGTGGGGTCAGATTCAGTAATCAAGGATGTCGTCTTGTGGAGTGCGACATCTTCCACAACCGCATGAATAATCTCAGACTCACCAATAAGGGTGGGGTCTTTACTGACACTAGCCAAGGAAAGTGCAGGGCCCAATAAAAAATTAACATTTAGGGTCTCAGTATTAGTTTCAGTTGGCACGCCTAGAGCTTCCTCTACTCGTCCTTTAGCTGAAGCACTAGGGGAACAGGCATGCGTGATAATGGCCATTGAATTTGAAAAAAATTCTTTCACGACAGGATGTGAGCCCATCACTCCATTGGGAACCGTATCAGCGTGTTGTCCCCCAGCCGAATGCAAGTGGTCAGCATTGTCGAGTCTGTCCGCGCGTGCACTCCCAACGGGTCGGAGAGGAACAGCCGACTGCCAGGGAATCGGGTTCGGCCGGTGACGAGCATCTTCCACAGTCCTCCGCTTTCCCAGAACTTAACTGCCAGGGAATCGGGTTCGGCCAGTGACGAGCATCTTCCACAGTCCTCCGCTTCCCCAAAACTTCCATCTCTACCAACTGAGAAAATGGTGTGCTACGAGAGTGTTTTACAGGGAAGAGTGGAGAGGGCCCCCTAGTGGCTCTCACCGCCAGCTCCGCTCCATACTTCATCCCTTCCTGAGCAACAACAGTGCCAAGAGTACGAACACATGGCTTACCCAAGAGATTTGCATGGCCAAGTCTGCCACAGCGGAAGCAGAAACGCCGCAGTCCCTCGTATTTCAGGTTGATCCAAGTTCGCTCTTCGTTTGCTCTGGGTAACCAGAAACCAAGCTGAAGTGGTTTTGTCGAGTCAATCTCGATTCTCATCCGTAAAAAGCTCCTGGTTCCATTGGTGGCAGGGTCCTCAACTCCAATAACAGAGCCAATACTCTCTCCTATCAGTCGAGCATTCCTCCCCGTCATCAAACCAAGGGGAATCCCATGTGCTTGTATCCAATAGGTTGCTTTGTTTGGATGAATTTCTGCAAGTGCAAAGCTTTGTGGCCATGGCTGGATGGAGAAAACGTCGTCGTTGACATGCCAGGGACCTTTCTCAATAAGTTTCTTAGCCACCACAATAGAAGCAGCAGTAATAACATATACATTGGGACTAGCCCATGCAATCTTGACATCGTCCGAGTGTACGATGTTGCGCCACTCACGTTGGAGGGCATTCTTCACTCCACCGATCTGAGGTTCTTTCTCAGTGATGAGGAAGCCGGCAAGAGTAATGCCACACCTGTCTTCTGCCAAGTCCAGGTTGTTTTCAAGGTGAATGGTGAGCTGATCTGCAACTTCCACTTCATTTGAGTAGTTGATTCCATACAATTCCTTCCCTTCCTATTCTTGATTTCCCCGTCTATAACTTCTTTACCCGAATTTATTCTGGTGAGTCTACCAAGTATTTGTATAATCATATTGTATCGTGTCGGGTGTCGGATACAATGCGTCTGATATACACAAAACTAGTGCAGTCGTAGAGTATGATTGATCACGACCAAGAACATCACAACATCCGACAGTAACAAGGCAAAGTGAGATCCAACTTCATGCTAGTGAGTCTCATAAGCTTTTTGATATAATGACGGTTGGTCTTGGCGGGTATTGCTTAAATTACAAAAATGCATTCAACTTCATCAGAGCATTGCTACTCAGATCTGTACGCAAATAACTAACGTTTAGAAACACGCAGGCACAGCTTCTCACCTCAATTAGCCACTCACAACACAACAAATCTTAAAAACACCAATCCTCTTCAACAAGGTGAAGTTTTCATTGACTAATCTGTCCTTATTTTGGAGCATGAGAAAATTGACATTCAAAACAATTGTTTCTTCATAACTACAGGCACCGTGCAGCTCAAATAATATACCTCTAACTAAAATTAACCAAGCTTTATAGAGACAACACCATTGTAAAGGCATAATAATAATATCCTCTTCAAATAATCTAGAGGAGCAACAAACTTGACTTCCTTAATCTGCGCGAGATTGCCCTGATCGGGATGAGAGGATGATCCCCACAATGAGGCCATACAAGGCAAGAGCTTCGGCGAAGATGAGGATAAGAATCATACCAACGAAGAGCTTTGGCTGCTGTGCATTAGCCCTGAAAATAATCCAAAACAAAATATGGAGAAAATATTATCCCACTTGACATGTTTTATAGAGCAAAAAGACAGTACTAATAAAGCTACGATAAATGTCATGAGAAGAGGAAAAACAAAAAGAAGCTACGATCTAACTATAAAATCAACTTAACTAGAAAGGAACCGGCTTATGAAAACACAGATCTAAACAAGCATTTTATTGAAAACAAGAAAATTGTCTAGCAAACAAACAAGCTGAAGCTGCTCAACCTAGTGTAGTTTCGGCATGTGCTGCTGTCTTTGTTATTGTTTTGAGTCTTTTGATGCATTAAGATTATAACTCAAAAGTTTGGAATCATATAGAAAACACATCTAGTTTTTAAAAGATGAACACCCTTTAACCAGACAGTCTTACACTTAAGCACACAAAATTAAAACGCAAAGGTAATACTCATATTTAGCCCAAACTAGCTTCACCTATTTCCTTGGAACCGAACATAAAAGCCATGTTGTATTGAAGCATAAACCCAATACCCAATAGGAAATGCATTTCTAAATGAGTAAAGCATCTCTGCATTCCACATTAGACATACAAAGAACCACCAACTTTGACAAACTATTGGCATATAAGAGATCCACCCCTTCTTGTAAGGTAATGCATCTCTGTTAATAGTATTTTTGTAGAAAACTTTTATTATAAACCCAAGTGCTTCCTAGGGTATTCATCTAGCAGTCCAAATATTTTGTTTATTTCATCATCTAAATGCTGGAAAAAAAAACGGTTTTGTAATTTGAAACTGCTGTTGGCACTCTCAAACATTAATTTCTTCCATCCAATGCTAATCAATAGGGAACTAATTCACTGGCCCAATAAAAATGGCATCTTACTAGACAAGCATGTATGATCACGACTAAAAGATCAACAGAGCAAACTGGGTTCAGTCAAACTCATTTAAAACTACGAAACCACAAGCAATCAAGAGCTAAGAGTAAAAGGGTTACCGGACACCGGCGTCACCGACGATCCCAATGGCCATTCCGGCGGAGAGTCCGGCGAGGCCACAGGCAAGGCCAGAGGACAAGTGCGCGTACCCATCAAAGAGATAATAAGATTTGGCCTTTGGGTTAATCCCGGTGCTAATAATAACAGCTATGATGAGCCCATAGATCCCACGCACTCCAGCCATAACCACCGGCACGATCGATTTCATCACCAGCTCAGGCCGCATCACTCCCATGGAGGCCACACCCACCCCACTCTTTGCTGTGCCGTACGCCGCACCCATGCCTGTGCAATCGCAATCATTTGAATCAGAAAGATCGAATCTTTGAGAAAATAAAATTGAAATTGAAAGGGTTTGAGAAATTGGAGTTACAGGAGAAGACGAGAGCTGCGGCAGCTCCGAGGAAGCCGAAGAAGGGAGCGGTTTCGTCGCCGCTGAAGGTAGAAGAAGCCATGTCTGTGTGTGTTTGGTTGCGGGGATTGGTTGTGTGCGCGAATCTGGGGTTTGGATGAAGAAGATAAAGCTCTGTTGTTGTTTAATGTATGAAATTCTGTGGCTTTTGGATTTTTATGAGAGAGAGGAGAGAGATAGCTGAATCGGAAGAGGACGGTTGATTTCGATTTAGAGTGTCTCACGGCTTGCTGGCAACATTTTTTTTTGGGCATGTTTTGAACTAACCGCACGATCCCAAAAAAAAAAAGATTTACTAATCACAACTAAATATTGGGAGAAAATAAATCACAGTTGATTTATTTAACTTTATACAATTTCCTACAAAAAAAAAAAAAAACTTTCTTTAACAACTAAAGTGGAACCAATTGGAAAAGGAGCAACCCAAAAAAGATAAAGGAACCAATTAACTTTTAATTTAATGATATTTCTTGATTAAAAAAAAAAAATTGTTGTATTTATCTCGATATTATTGAATGAGGTTTTAAGTTTGATTCTCATAAATGACGATGATAATATATATATATGTAATGACTTAATCATGGCTAACTCTTATCATGGTAGTGTAATTTTGTTGTTGATGTACTGGCTCGTTGTAAGTAATTTGTAAAGGGTAATGCTAGGCTTACCACATTTTTCATACCACATTGATACCACATCTCTAATAGAGGTGGGCCCCATTGTATTGGTGGGCTCCACCTCTATTAGAGATGTGGTATCAATGTGGTATGAAAAATGTGGTAAGCCTAGCATTACCCTTTACAAATTACTTACAACGAGCCAGTACATCAACAACAAAATTACACTACCATGATAAGAGTTAGCCATGATTAAGTCATTACATATATATATATTATCATCGTCATTTATGAGAATCAAACTTAAAACCTCATTCAATAATATCGAGATAAATACAACAATTTTTTTTTTTTAATCAAGAAATATCATTAAATTAAAAGTTAATTGGTTCCTTTATCTTTTTTGGGTTGCTCCTTTTCCAATTGGTTCCACTTTAGTTGTTAAAGAAAGTTTTTTTTTTTTTTTGTAGGAAATTGTATAAAGTTAAATAAATCAACTGTGATTTATTTTCTCCCAATATTTAGTTGTGATTAGTAAATCTTTTTTTTTTTGGGATCGTGCGGTTAGTTCAAAACATGCCCAAAAAAAAATGTTGCCAGCAAGCCGTGAGACACTCTAAATCGAAATCAACCGTCCTCTTCCGATTCAGCTATCTCTCTCCTCTCTCTCATAAAAATCCAAAAGCCACAGAATTTCATACATTAAACAACAACAGAGCTTTATCTTCTTCATCCAAACCCCAGATTCGCGCACACAACCAATCCCCGCAACCAAACACACACAGACATGGCTTCTTCTACCTTCAGCGGCGACGAAACCGCTCCCTTCTTCGGCTTCCTCGGAGCTGCCGCAGCTCTCGTCTTCTCCTGTAACTCCAATTTCTCAAACCCTTTCAATTTCAATTTTATTTTCTCAAAGATTCGATCTTTCTGATTCAAATGATTGCGATTGCACAGGCATGGGTGCGGCGTACGGCACAGCAAAGAGTGGGGTGGGTGTGGCCTCCATGGGAGTGATGCGGCCTGAGCTGGTGATGAAATCGATCGTGCCGGTGGTTATGGCTGGAGTGCTTGGGGAGCCATCTCGTGTGTCCAAAGAACAGCCTCCTCTTGCTCGCTTTGTTCTTAGAGTCTCCAGTTCCGGCCCTGGCCGCAGACCCTACATCTCTCCTGGTATTTCTTTCTTTGATTTTTACTTCAAGTTCAAATTTTTTGCTATGGTTTATGATTGTTGGCAATGGTTGTTTGAATGCATCCCTTTTAGAAATGTGGTTAAAATCGTTCAAAGTTGTATAATATGCGTAGTTGGTCCGGTGCCCATCAGCTCAAAGTTGTATAACATGCAACTAGAAATGCTGAAGTTTGTTTCTTTTCCGGTTGAAGGGCTAACTGGTAGGCTGAATATATATCATCAATGTCTTCCATTGTTCATTTTGCTCTTGAAAGTTTATTGATTTTTGTTCATATGGGAAATATTGAACTTACATATATTTGTTTTGGAAGTCTCCAATTTGATAGCCATTTCTTTTTCTTTTTAAGGAGAATGCACTGAGCAGTAATTCTGTTCCTGTAATGCTTCTCTGCTTCTTGTTACAGTTCATGAAAGACTGCTTCGCACAAGTGACGACTTTGTCTGGCCTGTTGATTCCACCTTCCTTGGTCGCTTCATCATTGATGTTGAGTTTCTTGACTTGAAGATATGCCCTTTAAATGTGAGTTCCATTACATAGTGTTTTTTGTGTTAGTTTCATTGCATAGTTATCTTTGTGGTACTTACTTATGGGTGGGTATGCGTGTTTTATGAATTTTTGGTATTAGAACAGAAGGATTTTAATTATTGTGATTATCTCTCTCACTAGTGGGACTGTGGGCCACAAAAACTTCATTAAATGGTGAAAAGTTATAATTTACAACTCAAAGATTTTATTTTCTTTTTGCTTTATCTTGAATTTAGTAGTGATATCTTGAGGACTTGATTTCTTACAATTATATTTTAGTGCAACCATGTGTCCTTACATCCTCTAAGAGTTGTCTCAGGGTGGGGAGGCGAGTCCTGTATGGCCTGCTGATGGATTGATGCAATCCGTATCAACCCAAAGCACTCTCCGATGCCTCTCTCGCATGCTTGATGAGGGCATCCATGCTGATGTCACTATCAACACTACTGAAGGCACATTAAGAGCTCACAAAGCAGTTCTTTCTGCAACTTCTCCTGTGTTCCAAAGCATGTTCAATCACGACCTTAAGGAAAAAGAGTCCTCCACAATCCACATAAAAGACATGTCCCTGGAATCTTGTATGGCTCTTCTGAGTTACCTGTATGGAACCATTAAACAAGAGAATTTCTGGAAGCACCGGTTGGCACTTCTAGGTGCGGCGAACAGATATGACATTGCAGACCTAAAAGATGCCTGTGAGGAAAGCCTTCTGGAAGATATTAACTCCACAAATGTCCTTGCAAGACTGCAAGAGGCCTGGTTGTACCAGCTGAATACGCTGAAGAAAGGATGCTTGATGTACTTGTTTGATTTTGGCAAAATATACGATGTCAGAGACGAAGTAAACGACTTTTTCAGGCATGCAGACAGAGACTTGATGATGGAAATGTTTCAAGAGGTGCTTACTGTTTGGAAGCCCTTATAACTTTCCTTTTATGGAGTTCTTACTGTCATATGCAGTCTGCTGATTGATAATTGTATATATAGTGGTTGGTTCAAGAATCCTCTGAGATTATCTGTGTGGTTTAATGGTGATGTTGTTCTCCTATGTATGATAAAAAAATTACGATCCCAGGTGAACTGCTTGGCATTCGGTTTCGAGTTCATATAGAGTGTCATGCCCCATATCTCATGGGCATTATAAATTGCTTGTGTTGGTTTAAGTTCCAAACCCTACTTCTTTGCACATAAGAATCTATTGTACTTAAAATTTTGCTGTTACATTGATGAAGGAATTAATGGGTCTTACTAGATGCTTTTCTTTCTTTTCGTTCGTAGTCATTAAACACTAACGTTTGGTAGTGGACTTGCTTTGATAGAGAGGGAGTAAGAGCATCCGCAATTATGCTCTCTATTTTTTAGTTAAAATTTAGCTAAAAATATAAGAAAGCTATTTTAGGAGCTCTCTAAAAAATTTCAACTCCAACCATACTCCCTAATTTGGAGAGTCATAAATGCTATAACTCTTTTTTTATTGGTCCATCTCTATTAAAAAATAAAATAAAAAATAGTTAGCATTAAATAAAGGTTTGAAATACTTATTAAATAAGGCAGCATTAAATTATAGGGCGCCACTAGGAGTACTTTCTCTCTCCTCAGATTTAGGAGCTCCTAGAGGACTCCCTATTTTAGGAGGTGGATAGGGAGTATGGTTGGAGTTGCATTTTTACAATTCCTCCCTAAAATTTGTCTAAGGAGGTGGTTTAGGGAGCCCATTGCGGATGCTCTAAGTTTTTATTGAGCACTCATTTGAAACTCATCATGTTTATTTGTCTTAATCTTGATTCAGGTATATTGGGCGAAATGTTTTTCTGATTAGACTACCATGAAGCCTTGGCATGAGCCACATTGAGTCAACTACCATAAAGTGTACATTGTGAAACTTTCGGATGTTGGAATAACAATAGGAAATATGAATTTAAAGATAATAAAAATTCTCAACAAAATTGTAATAATCAAAATATAATAACAAATTTATATGAAATTAATGTAAATCAATAAACACAAATAGAAATACTGACAACTTTAGCGATTGAGGCTTAGCGATTGAGCCTTGTAAGAATTGCAATGTCCTAAAGACAAAATTTGCCCATACTCTCGTGCATGCAGTTGTATAGGTGTCCATCTCGCAGGATTTAACAATCGATAATTCTAAATTGAAGCACTTCAATTTAAAACTTTGGCGAATCAATTATATATTTGTACTCTCAAGACTATACTTAGAATTGATCAAAAGAGTGAAAAATAGAGCACTGGGAAATGCTCTGTTTTTCCATGGTTAAGTACTCCTCTACAAGGAGGAAACTGTTGGGTTTATATAAGGGAGTTGATTTTCCCACTCCTCTTTTCTCCACTTACACTCCTTTTGCTTTTTATTACTTTTTAATATATTTTATTTTATTTTTGTTCTTTCTTTTTCTTATTTTACCTTTACCCCATTAATTTCTTTTTAGTTAACTTTTATATTATTTCTTTTTACTTAACATTATCTTTGATATGAATGAGACTGCCGAAAATTCAAAATTTGTAATGTCAAGGTAATGGTATTGATAATAACCGAAAATTGATATTTTGTCTATGATCTGTGAAGAAGATATGATGACTGGTTATTGGGAAAAAAATTGCTATAAAAAATCAAGCAATCAAGCATAAAGTACTCATGCCATATCCAATATTACATTTTTTTAAAAAGAAAAAAATACACATTCGAAATTACCCTTCTGATTTGCTTTTGATGATAATAAATCAACATCTCAACGTCACTAGGAGTTTCCTGTGGTGTATTTTGTAATGGCCCAGTAAAAAAAAGTTTTAAGAAGGAAGCTAAGGTGGATTTTAATGTTTTCGTACAATAAAATTGCCTCTTGCTCAAAAAACTGTAACAGCGAAACTGTTTATTATGTGTTTGTTCCGAAACTTTGACTTTGAATTTGCTTCACTTTTATATTATTTTTTTTTAAAATAATATTAAAAATAAAATGCAAGTTGAAAAATTAAGTATAAAAAAATAGATAATAAAAATTAAATAAAAAACAAATTAATATAGAGTAAGAGTATAATAGGAAAGAGAGAACAAAAAGGAACAAAATTGATTAAAAAATATTAAAAAGCAATATGGGTCAATATGCCTCCTCTGCTTTTATTCTGTCCTCCATTTCCTCAATTTTCTTAAATACTTAAAGATTTAAAATCAAAGAGTTAATTATGATTATAAGTATGGACATGTGTCAAGTTATAAGAATGATGGTGATAGTATACATTGGGTAAAAGTGGTGAGTAAAAATGCTCCCATTCTTTGCATATTACAAATAATCCTGTAAAAATCTTCTGAGAAATCAGATAAAAGAAAAAAATCTGCCAGAAAAGGAAAACCTTTGCAAAACAAATGGTGTTTTTTTTTTCGAAGAATTAAAGAAACAATATTGTTGGGTGGCAGTAGAAGTGGGTAAAGTTTGACTTGAAATTGATCAGGCCATGTACTTGGCATTGCCTTAAAAAAGAGTTTGTCAACAAAGCGAAGACAGTCAGCCAGAAGAAGTCACACAGAGTGAGAAAGCTCAAAACAATGGCCGATTCAAAAGTAGAGACGATCTCAAGACTGGCCCAATGGAGAATCGAGAATTTCGGCCCTTGCTCTTACAAAAAGTCTGATCCTTTCAAGCTCGGAATTTGGAATTGGTACTTCCCTTCCCACAACACCCATTTTTACCCAACTGTCCTTTTTCTTTGTTTTCTTTGTTGATACGGGTTCTGAAATTGAGTGTTTTTTGTTGGGTTATCAGGCATTTTTCTATAGAGAAGAATCGGTACCTCTACATTCGTTTGTTTCCAGAGCCATCACGGGTGTCCAAAGAACAGCCTCCTCTTGCTCGCTTTGTTCTTAGAGTCTCTAGTTCCGGCCCTGGCCGCAGACCCTACATCTCCCCTGGTATGTCTCTCTTATTTTTACTTAAAGTTCAAATTTTTTGCTATGATTTATGATTGTTGGGGATGATTGTTTGAATGCATCACTTTTAGAAATGTGGTTAGAATTGGATATGCGTAGTTGGTCTGGTGCCTATCAGCTCAAAGTTGTATAACATGCAACTTGGAATGCTAAAAGTCTGTTTCTTTTTCGATTGAGGGGCTAACTGGTAGGCTGAATATATATATATATATATATATATATATATATATATATATATATATATATATATATATATATATATATATATATATATATATATATATATATATATATATATATATATATATATATATATATATATATATATATATATATATATATATATATATATATATATATATATATATATATATATATATATATATATATATATATATATATATATATATATATATATATATATATATATATATATATATATATATATATATATATATATATATATATATATATATATATATATATATATATATATATATATATATATATATATATATATATATATATATATATATATATATATATATATATATATATATATATATATATATATCAATTTCTTCCATTGTTCATTTTGCTCTTGAAAGTTTAGTGATTTTTGTTCATATTTGAAGTAGTTTCCGTGATGTTTGGAAGTTAGTATATGAATGATAGAAAATGTTCATAAGTTGGTAATAAATGAAGATAGTGATTGGAAGTAGTACATAAGTCATGGTACTATATCTGAAGGCAGTTGAGTTGTTTTGTTTAATTTGTGTACTGGTTTGGTACGAGTCCTACAATGTATAAGATTTTGTTTGAAGGAATCTGTCCTTACATCATATGATTCCAGGCATCGGATAGTGAAATTTGGGATTTGCGTTACCTTCTTCCTCTGTATCTGTTAATTTAATTTGTACCTCTGCTTTGATATACGACAGCTGTTCTGTCAGGTTGTTTAGCCAAAAAGACAGAAGCTTGGCGCCATTCCCCCTTTTCTTTTATTTAAAAAACCATCCAAATGTCTCTTGTACTGTTTATTTCTGTCCTTATACACTCACTGTGAAAACTTTCACATGGATTTGCCATCCTAGAGGTTATCTGAAATCTGGTTTTATCTCATTTACTGGACTCTCAATTCATCTTCCGTTTCTCTACAAAATTCACGTGTATGGATTCTTGGATGATATTTTGAGGCAGAACTGGTAATTGATCTTGACATATATCAAACATAGCATATAGCTGTGTTTCAGTATGTTCATCAAAATATGATAATGTCTTGATACTTATTTAAAACACTAAATTGATATGTAACTAAGATTTTGAAATAAAAAGGCTGTGATGCAATGTAGAGAGGACCATTAATAACCTGGACATTTCACCCCTTTTCTGATCATCAGCTACAATTAAAAACAATATGCTTCTGTGTATGACTTATGCTACAATTGGTTAATGTGCTTTGATGTAATACATCCAACTCATGGATCTGTTCTGTGGAAATAGGGATTCAATAATTAAGGCAACAAACTTATGTGTTTCCTTGCCCATGGGCACTTTGGAAAATCCCACCTCCATCAGAAATATTGAACTTACATATATTTGTTTTGGAAATCTATAATATGATAGCCATTTCTTTTTCTTTTTAAATAGAATGCACTAAGCAGTAATTATGTTCCTGTAATGCTGCTTTGCTTCTTGTTACAGTTCATGAAAGATTGCTTCGCACAAGTGAAGACTTTGTCTGGCCTCTTGATTCCACCTTCCTTGGTCGCTTCATCATTGATGTTGAGTTTCTCGACTTGAAGATATGCCCTTTAAATGTGAGTTCCATTACATAGTTATCTTTGTGTTAGTTTCATTACATAGTTATTTTTGTGGTAGTTTGATACGTGTATGGGTATATGTGGTTTATGAATTTTTGGTATTACAGATGGATTTAAATTATTGTTGATTATCTCTCTCACTGGTGGACCGTGGGCCACAAAAGCTTCATTAAATGATGAAAAGTTATAATTTACAACTCAATGATTTTATTTTCAGCTTGCTTTATCTTCAATTAAGTAACAAGTAGTGATATCTGGAGGATTTGATTTCTTACAATTCTCTGATTAAATCAGGGTGGGGAAGCTAGTCCTGTATGGCCTGCTGATGGATTGATGCAATCCGTATCAACCCAAAGCACTCTCCGATGCCTCTCTCGCATGCTTGATGAGGGCATCCATGCTGATGTCACTATCAACACTGCTGATGGCACTTTAAGAGCTCACAAAGCAATTCTTTCTGCAACTTCTCCTGTGTTCCAAAGCATGTTCAATCACGACCTTAAGGAAAAAGAGTCCTCCACAATCCACATAAAAGACATGTCCCTGGAATCTTGTATGGCTCTTCTGAGTTACCTGTATGGAACCATTAAACAAGAGAATTTCTGGAAGCACCGGTTGGCACTTCTAGGTGCGGCGAACAGATATGACATTGCAGACCTAAAAGATGCCTGTGAGGAAAGCCTTCTGGAAGATATTAACTCCACAAATGTCCTTGCAAGACTGCAAGAGGCCTGGTTGTACCAGCTGAATACGCTGAAGAAAGGATGCTTGATGTACTTGTTTGATTTTGGCAAAATATACGATGTCAGAGATGAAGTAAACGACTTTTTCAGGCATGCAGACAGGGACTTGATGATGGAAATGTTTCAAGAGGTGCTTACTGTTTGGAAGCCTGTATAACTTTCTTTTTATGGAGTTCTTACCGTCATGTGCAGTCTGGTGATTGATAATTGTATATAGTGTTTGGTTCAAGTATCCTCTGAGATTATCTGTGTGGTTTAATGGTGCTGTTGTTCTCCTATGTATGATAAAAACAATTACGATCCCAGGTGACCTGTTTGGCATTCGGTTTCGAGTTCATATAGAGTGTCATGCCCCACATCTCATGAGCATTATAAATTGCTTGTGCTAGTTTAAGTTCCAAACCCTAATTCTTTGCACATACGTGGGAATGAAATCAATGAAAGGAAGATGAGAGTTGTGAATAAATAATGCATTGCAAGAACCCCTAGAGCAAAAAAACTGAACTGTTTTATGATGCCAATCTTGAAATGGATCTGCATAGTTATCTTTTAGGTGGCAAAAGCTAAAAGTCGAGCAACAGGGTTTGAAAGCCTAATATGATTGTCGTAAAACCTCTCTATTCCCACAAAATAAGAATAATAAGAATAATAAGAATAATAAAAATGAATAAATGGAGAAAAAAAGAGACTTCTTCTCTTTTTGTAATGCACATCCCTTTAATTTCTTTAGGGTGAAGAATACTTTTTACCATACAATTTATTAAATGTTTAATTTAGTCTTGTGCTAGTTTGACGATGTTATCCTCTTTTTTGTCACCAAGGGAACTAAACAATATTATCATATATCTCTCATAGACTCCCAACTCAAATATTATTATTATATTTTCCTTATAAGGAAACTGTTACAATATTTTTTGACAAGGAAATTGTACATTACTTGATAATAAAAAAAGAAACAAATTAAATGAGATTATTACAACGCAAGCCGAAAATGTAATACCACATTAACAAAAATGAGTGTAATTATTAGAAAAAAAGATATTCTACTATTTATTTTTGGTGTTGATTTTGTGTTTATGTTTTAATCGCGTATAATTAAATGAAGTCTAAAAAGATTAGTAGATGATCCGACTTAATTATTAGCGAGCAATGCATAATTTCCTTTCTCTTTTGTCTTCGTCAAAAAAAGAAGTTGCGATTTTGGTACTTCAAGTTTAGCCTTTGACATTCCAAATTAAGTATTTTAAGTTAAATAGAGAGCGTCGAAAAAGAATGCTACCCTAAAAAAAATGTGATAAATATATTATAAGCACACAGTTAGAAGCAATAATTAATATGTCTCTTAACATAAAAACGAACACTGCTAATCCGGTGCCAAAATTATTATTATTATTTTGGTACAAGAAAGAATCTATGTCTTCTTTTTTTGGCGCAAAAGAATTCATGTCTTTTTGATTACCTACTTATTTTATTTTTGTTTTTTGTCTTTTGCCATATTGTGCCCACTTGTAAATTTGGTAATGTTACTTGGAACCTGGGTAGCCCAGCAAACCGACTGGCCTAAGTAAGTAAATAAATTTACATGATTCGCTTCGCACATTCCTTTCACAACCTCGATCAAAAAACAGAGAAATAAAATTTCCCAATACTTTTGAGAAAGACCCCTTTCACTTTTCTTCACAGTTTTGGAGCTCTCTTTGTGTTGCTGAACATGGAGACCATCTACCAATACTCCATCTCTCAAGTTGAACAACAAAACCAAGTTTTGCCCACAACCCATCTCCTCGCTTGCGACTGTTTCATCTTCCACTTAGACTTCACCCATCAACTCAAATTGTGCTTCCCTCAGGATTTGAACATACCCTTGAACTCAATTCAAGAATCCTTCTTTGTACCCTTTGATGTGTTTTTCTCACACACCCAAGAAACCATCCAAACCGTACTCTCTGGCTCTGGTGTTTCAATGGACTTTGTTCATGTCCTGCTGCCTGAAGTTCATTCTTTTGCTATGGAGGTTGCCCAGGAGCCTGCAAATGCTGGGCCCAGAATAGTCCCATTGGTTTTGGCTGTTCTTGCTGTGACACCTTTTGATGACCGTGACCAAATTGAGAGGGCTATAATGGAATCTGGGCAAGTCTTTAATCCAGTCCCGGCTGCCAAATCCTCCATTGCCGGGCTCAAGAAGGTCAAGATTGACAATTTGAGCGTGACGAAGGAATGTAGCATCTGTTTGGAAGAGTTCTCTGCTGGGTTGGAGGTTGTGCTCATGCCCTGCTCTCATCTTTACCATAAAGATTGCATTGTTGAATGGCTGAAAAGAAGTCACCTGTGCCCCTATTGCCGCTTCAAATTGCCAACTTGATTGCATTGAATGATCTCAGTGTGTGTTGAATTGGATTGCCAAAGGTAAATTTCTTGTTTTTCAACAATTGGGATTTATTTCTTTGAAGTGATTGACGTTTTGGCCTTTCTTGATCTTAAACCAGTTGCCACATCTTGTGGTGCATACAGCATATTGGCTGTGTATATTCAAGAACAAGTTTGATGGGTTGATCACATTCGAGGCTTACAAGCCTATCAAGATTATCATGGAAATTGGGGTGTTTGATAGATCAAGATGAGCTTCTTGTGCTGGTATGGCCGCTTCTCTACGCATTCTATGTGTTTCCATTTTGTCATCTATTGCTTTATACTATCAGTTTTAACTACTGATTAATTCATGTTTCTGATTTATATGAAGCAACTAGTGATTAATTGATGGCATTGTGTTGTAATTCAGCGTTTCTGCTTTGTTGCTGAAGATCAAGGCAGTTTTACGGCAATGTTTTGGCGGTTTTTCTTGGTTATGGAAGATTAAGAAGGGAACTTGTATGACAATGCACAGGCTAGTTACTATGAATATCTGACTGAGAGGAAGAAGCACCATGTTCTGGTAAGGAAGTTATCTCATTTTACTTTCTGCATATTTTGTTCACGGTAGTCCAGTTTACCTTAACCTCATGGTAGCTTGTTTTCTTCATTTCTCAACCATTTTGAGTTAGGATGCCATGCCTTCTTCATATTTTAACATTATGGCTCCCTATTATTATGCATGACTTCAAAAGTAGGACTTTTGAAGGGCAAATATATTAACAAGATCAGATAGAAAATGAAGATATCTGCTAAGTGTACAAAGGACAAATAGAAATTTTTCATCAAGGGTACTAATTAGTGTGGCATTGGTAGATCAAGCGTAAATCAAATTGCAGAAGAAGTTGATATCTGATGTTTGTGGCATTGGTAAGAGTTTCTTGCACTGATTTGTGCTGTGGACTCATAAGGTGTTGAGTTATTATGAGAGTATGTTCTGTTGGAATGAAATTTTATGTAATGGGAAGTCTGGATAGATCATATTTCAGATTTGCATTTTGATTTATGTGTCTCCACTTTTCAAGGCATTAATGAATTTCATCGTATTCCTTATCAAAAAGCTAAAAGAAATTATTGTATTTTGGTACAGAAAGATGCGAAAGGGTACGTTCAGAACAGATCATGAAGTGCTGGTGAAGCTGAAAGCACTGGTGCATTCGCCTTTTAAATGCAAAAAACATGGACAAAGTTCGGCTCCTGTGATGATCCTTGTCCAGTGAACACGAACAGTTTCTATTATTTGAAACAGGGGGCTCTTTGAGCCTTGTTTGATCTGCTAGTTACAACAAGATCAGGCATGCTCTATTTTGGCACTGCTTTAGTCTGCAGTTTGTAATTAGCCTAAGTCTGGCTTCCCAGTTCTTGTTTGTTTGCGGGGTTTTGGTTCTAGTCCCCCCCATTGTATTCTTAAAAAAAAAAGGTTTATTAATAATATGGAGGGACGGGCGGGGGGCTCCCAGAAGTGTAGGTCCCCTCTCCTTCAGGATTGAGGGTGGACGCTTGCGTCTTGTGACCTTCACTGAGGAGCTAATCTCGCCTAATCCTCTAGTAGAAAAACGTTTGTGTTGCAATGCCACAAAATGTTTTAGCCAGTTCTGCTATATACCAAAGCAGCAAATCCTTTGGTTGAAGCAAAATAGTGAGATACATCAGATCAACTTTGCCATCCCACTCTCTCCTATATCCAGCAAAATAATGGCCTTTTTCTAATGTCCTCCAAGTAAAGGAAAAAACCACTGCCATAGATGTTTTGGAAGGGAGGAATGAGCTTCATCTTCACCAAGCTTCTTTTAATTAGACTTGTATTGTTCGTTTTGAATCGTTTTCCAAACCCAATGGGAGATTTGCTATCCAAGCTTCCTCAAAGAGAGATTTAGAAATTCAAATAGATAAGATAATAGGGCCTAGATAATAAACATTGATGAGAATTGCAACCGCTGGTCAAGGCAATGAGGCCGCTCCCTTACACTTGAGTTGGAGTATTCCTCCTCATGAGATTAATAATTTTCAGTTAATAAGAATTGGCATCAAAGGTGCTACACACTAATTAACCGTACTTAACAGAATAATAAATACTTTAATTAATTAATTAAGGCTACACAACACATGGACCTCCTGTAAAACACCCTCCAGAATTGCACCGAACCCTCCAGAAAGAAGCTTCAACTACTAACCGCCTCCACCTCCTCTCTATCAATTTAAACCCAAAGCGACAAACCGTGCGAAAACAAAAGAACAATAAAATTCAGAGAGAGATTTTGAAAAATTAGAAAGGAGAAAATGTTCTTCTTCTTCGCTGGAGGAGTGGAGCAGCAGGTCCGGCAGGTGCTTAAATCCAGTGCGGGCAGGTGCATAGTGTGCAGGTCGCCGGCGGATCTGGTGGACTACGAGAAGGTACTGAAGGTCTTCTTCGTCCCCGTATGGCGGTGGCCCGGAAAGGAGCCTGTCATGCACTGTAACAATTGCAACCTCTTCTTCCCTCAGTCGTACTCTCTGCCGCCTCCGAAGACCGCCGATGACTCTGCAGCGGTCTCGGAGGCTCTGCGGTGTCGTTTCTGCGATCGGGTTGTGGAGCCGGAGTTCAGCTTCTGCCCCTTCTGTGGCTCCGCTCTATGAACATCAATTGGTCCCTTCATGACTGCTCTGTTTTGTGTATCTTTGTAAATTGGAATAAAATTAGATGTTTCAGAAAATTGGGTTTTGTTCTTCTTCCCATTTGTGGTAATGAAATTGTTGAGAAATGAAAATGTAGCAGAAGGAAATGAAATTGGTATCAGTTCGTCATTTCAATCATGAAAAACACTCATTGGCAAAAGTTTGAGCTTATTCTTTGGAAATTTGAATTTTCTGAAAAATAAATGCTAAATCTGTGGCCATGAATTTGAATTTACACAAAGCAACAAAGCAAATTCTTTGTTGCAAGAATTGGGTAATTGGATTTTCATTGAAGAGATTGGTGTTATCATAAAAGTAGCAACACACATAAATATGTTATTGGGAAACAAATCAAAGGCATAGGCATGTAAGGAGAAAAGAAAAAAGAAAAGAAAGGAGAAGAAAAAATATGAACACTGTACACAAAAAGGTTATTAAAAAAAAAAAAAAAAGGGGGTTGGTAGTGTACAGTTTCTTCTCTTTCAATTTTACAAGGGTGTTTTCTATGCAGATACCATTTTCTTCTTTGCCTCAAGATCAATTAACAGTTCCCGCCAAGTGACTCTAGGATTTCGTTGTTTAAGCCAAGAATCGCCAAACTGCAGGGCCTTGTCATGGTTGATCATCCATTCAAGAATGCAGGTTGGTTCCAGAGTTCTCATAAAAAAAGAAGGCTTTCTTGTTTTGGGTTTGAATTTAACTTGACTTGCTAAAGGGAAGTTGTTTCTCTCCTCTTTCCAAGGCATCTCTCCATTGCCTGTACCTCACTCCTAGCTTGTCATATGTCACCGGCCAGTTCCAGATGTTTGCCCCCTTGTTCATGCGCTCTTGTTGGCCAAGGACAAGCCTTAGATCCTCATTCAAAACCTGTGTCAATTTGAATGCAACAAATTTTTAAGTTGGAGTCTGAGTGAGAATATCTTAATCAAGAGGGTTTTATTTGGTTCCAACTCTGAAGACATTGCGAAAAATCATGTCACAAAAGATTTAATTACCTGTTCTGCAAAATGCCTCCATAGGAAGTTCATGAATGGAATGTGCTTCAGCACAGGTGCAAAATCTAGTGACATTCTGTATAATAACCTTGTTTTATTTCTAGAAGAAGGTAAACACACATGAAGTTGATGAAGATGTGTGGTACACTGTTTAGTACTCTGCCCTTCCAGTTTTCCCGGTTTTGAGATCCCAATCGTTGAGAGCACCATACAAGGTGGCCGAAATTCCATATCTATGGGATATGGGTCCCAATATCCTTGGAGGCCAGATGCAGGCGTTAAAAATTTCACAAAGCTGAAAATTCAGATTATTCTCAACATTAAGTAAGTCATTATCTCATCTGTTGAAATATGAAATCAAGTTTAGAGTAAAAATGCTCTATATATGCTCTAGTTGGATACAAAAATATGTCAACAGAAACAATCTCACATGACAGATAGATCATACGTTAAGTAAACAGAAACAAACCTAGGAACACTCCATCCCTTGGCGAAGGTGGACGTATGAGTGAAAGGAGCATGCGCAAGATCTAAAAGGTTATCAAGAAGCAGCCCATGTTCCACTGGGAGTTCTATGACCAGCTGTCAAATGAAAACATTACAAAAATGTTACAACTCTTTCCACATATATAAGCAATCTTTAACCTTCTTTAGGAAGAGCTAAAAGAATCAGAATTTATCCATAACATACCTCAGCATGGATTTGAAACCCTGAAGGAGGTTGTAAAGAAGGAAGAGTGGCCGATGGAGGGCCATCACCAGGCCAAATCCATAACATTCCATCTTTCTCGAAACATGGCAATGACTTAATCTTTACTTTGTGTAATCGTGTAGATGGCATTTTCTCACATGTGCCATCGGTTGAGTATTCCCACCCTGAAATTCATCCATCACAGAGGTGTCAAACTGTGATTCCTATAATAGTTAGAAAGCACTGGAATATTACTCATAAAATGTCTACTGTTGTACTACATGACCTAGATGCTATGCCTTTCTAAGATGTCACTAACCATGATAGGGACATTGGATACGGCCCTCATTTACTGAACCGAGGTCAAGAGGGCAAGCTCTATGCGCGCAGGTATTCTGGACGCATCCAGGTTTACCATCTTTTCCACGAAAGAGAACCCATGGTTCCTCAAAACAATCAAGTGGAACCTGAAAAGCAAAAGTGATAAGGCCCTTGTTAGAAGACATCCACAAATAGACTAAATAATACTGGACAACAAGTGCTATAAAAGAGCTACTCCTCAGAAGAAGTGCAATCCAATGGATAATGCCACACCGCCATAATGATCAAATTAATGATATAGCCAACAAAAACCTATGGAACTAACGTAACTAATTTTTCTTTGTTGTTAATGAAGAGGACCATGCCTTTCCAAAAGAAAAATGAAGAGGATCATGCCTTCCCAACACAAAATTGAAGAGGACCTTCCCTCTGTTAGTAGAGTGATAATATTTTCTTCCTCTCTTTTATACTTTTATTCTTTTTATTCTTTTTATTCTTTTTCTTGTTTCCACACTAATGCTTTTTGTAGCTAATGCACAAGAAATGAATAAAAAACTTGAAGAACTAGCCTACCATAGTATCATCTTTCAGGTCAGTAGAGAAGGCAACAGGGTACCAAAAATTCTTCAATCGGGGATGGTAGGGTTGAACTGGACCTGAAATGTTCAACCCTTTTCGAGGCAGCCTCCTTTTTACAGTATCCAGAGATTGCGTAGAAGTGCTTGGAGAAGGGGATGCTTCCTCAGAATATGTAGTTGCTCTATCTTGTAACAGCTTGTCATTCACCAATTCTTCCATGTAAGCCAATTTATCTAAAGCAGTGGAAACCCTTGCTTCAGATATATGAACCTGTAGTAATTCATGGATTAAAATTTCAGAAGTAAGCATCTGGTCAGTTGGATGCTCTATAATTAATCAGTCTTTGTTACTAGTACTATTCAATTTTCAAGGAGGATAAATTGAAGGTGATTTCAAGTTATGCAAGTTACAAGACTTTATCTCCTCAAGTGTTAAATTTACACACCTGTCTATGAGCCTGTCCTAGCTCTTCTTGCAACTCTGCAAGCTCCTTCTTGATGGTACCTATAGACTTATAATCTCGGGCTAGAGGATTTAGAACGTCCACAACCTGCACAGCCATATTTGAGTGTAAGAATCCCAATGAAACATTTAGAAACTTAAACAATAAAGATTTTTTCAACAAAATTATAATTCAATGCTCAGCACTAGAATTGTTCCAAATAAAAATGAAATTAGAGTCAAGTTTCAATAAGTCAATATGCTATCAAAAAGGAAATTTAACTCATCATCTAGATATAATAAGTTGCTCAGATTAGCACTCTGACCTTTTCATGGAGGAGCATGATTGCGAGCACATCTTGTCGAGCCCGCCAATCACAGTATTGTATATCATATCTAGCAACTTCCAAGGCCAGATTTGCATCCAAGAACTTCCCTTTAGTTTGTGGAAATTTAGACCTAGGATCCTCCACATCAAAGAGTGTACTCCAACCATTCTTCTTTTCTATCTCTGATTGCTCTCCGAATACAGCAAACACCCGAAATCCTCCTTTCACACCCTGAAATTTAACAAGTTCAACAATCTAAGCTATTATATATATAACAGCTCACACTTTATTACATCTAGATAGATTATAGATATGAAAAACAAGGATACATAATTATAACAGAAGATGATACATCAAGAACTAGCATGAGCCCACAAATGTTTATAATTAGCATAAAAATAATATCTTTAATTTGGTATTAAGTGCTAGTTTCAATCCACAATTTAACCAACCCAACTGAAATTCTACTTCAAATTTAGCATGTACCCACTTTAATTAAAGGTGAAACCTATCAAAGTTTATATACTTTCTCACCAAGTACCTATTACACACTCGATTAAGCATGTACCACTAGAGTAAGCCACATTTCAACTAACTAGTCAACCATGTTAAGTGTTGATATACAAGTTCTAAAAATCTAAGAAAACCCAGATAAAATTTATTGAAAAATTAGCAAGTGGTGTATATATCCGTACCTTCCTGGTGCTAAGCTTGGTTGATCTACAAAATGATATGGGCAAAGATAGAGCTGCAGCTGTGGCAACAATGGTCATGGCGTTTGAAGCTGACAGACTCATGACTAGGGGGAGAGAGAACCGTAAGTGATTTTGGTGTCACAAATTTATTGTTGGAAATTTCTGTTGATAAGTGGGTGGCTACTCTAGCCCGCGATCTCAGTTGGCCTCCCATGGTATGCCACGTGGATACGCTTGGCTCCCACGTGGCAAGCTCTGCTTCCACATGCTCTTTGCTTGTGTCTGTGAGTATCTGGCATGAGTGGGGCCCTTATATCTTGCCAGCTCGGATGACCAAGATATCTTTATCTATCCCCGTTTTGTGGTTTTTCACCTTTGTATTTGGATTTTTGAAATGGGTTGGGTTTTGCCATGTTAGGTGGGTCATAGGCCTCTTTTTATTCTATGTGGGTCATTTTGTAATATTATCCGTTAATCCATTCTGATAAATTTGATTGGCAGTGGTGATTATTTTTATCAAAGACATTGATAATTGTGATTGATTGATGGCTTATCTTATTATTAATACATGAAAAAAATTGAAAAAAAGAAAAGTGTACTTGACATGCTTAATGGGTTGGGCTCATTTTCACAATGGGCTTGTCCCTCTCATTATAGCCTCACTTCCTCATTATATCTTGTGTAAAGGACCGAGGATAGTGTTAATATGAGAATGAGTGTGATCAAGATGAGTCTCAAACCCTATTTGCCATTTTGGGTATCCAATGACCATCGATAAGCAGAATGACAGTGATCGTGGTGCGATCATTGGTGTCGTGGTGCACTAGCAACCGGTCTTCAGTGCAAGAATTCTATAGTGAGGGTCTTATGGTCCTTAGGTGAGGCCCTATTTTTTAATTGTTGAATCAAATTGGTTAGCTGTTAGATCAAATTGATTAGCCTGATCCAATGATTAAGAGATAGGACCTCACATAAGGGCCATATATAAGACCCTTATTATAGAATGACTTGTCTTCATCGTCCATAGGGATTTTGGGCTTTTCGTGCCAGCCCAATTCCAACCAATTCTATTGTTTTTTCTGTTATTGGGCCGGAAACCAATCTGCCTATGGCATCTTGTTTCCTGTATATCTGGTTTTTATTTAAAACGGACAAAAACAAAACAAAAAATCTGAACCGACATCCCATTGCCCAAAGTTTATTTTATTTTATTTTAGTGGCCCAAAGATATGATTGCGGGTAACGGAAGCAATCTCTAATCACGCAGATAGACGCAGATAGACAGTCGGTCAAAGTTTACTCAATTTCTTCCAAGAAATAACTTCAAATTAACGAATTGAATCCAATCCACCATGAACAAGGCAGCAGCTTTAACCATGATGAACAACCCTCTAAAAATATCTCCACGACTCTCATCATCCTCTGCGCCCCTTTATTATGGATTTATTGTAGAGAGAAACAGAAAGTAAGAAAGAAAGAGTAACAAAGTAAAATGAGTAGAACGAGAGCTCAAAAGGAGGACAAGGCAGGGCCTTTCTTCTTAGCCACACTTGTGCTCTGGTTCGTCTCCGTTTTGTTCGAAATTCTGTTCCACAGGCGCTCGCAGCTGCTCTCCATAGTCGCTGGCTGTTTCTTTTACCAATTGGCCAACTGGGTTGTTCGCGCTTTCGTCTCCCGCGACCCTCTCTTTGCCAACACCTCTGTTTCTCTGCTCCACTCCACCATAACCTCCTCTTCAGGTTTGTTTTCTTTTCAAGCTGTCCTTTTTTCTTGGGAATATTTTTTGGGGTTTTTTGAGTATGTTTCATGGTCGTTTTCTGTGCATAGAGTTTAGTGATAGGTTTAACAAAAATGGAATCTTTGTACTGAAATTAACACTTTAACTTTGTTGGGGACTGTTTTCTCCAAGTACCAAGTTCATTGTTGAAATGATAATCACTATATTTGCTATATAGATTACCAGGTGGGAAAGCTCATGCCCCCATTTGTTGGTTCCAGCTTTCCCATTGTGTGTGTGTGTGTGTGTTTTTTTTTTTTTTTTAATTTTATTTTTTTCTGGTTCTCTCATTCTGAAACATGGTCTTTATGCGCTGCACACGTAGACTGTCCGAGCTAAAATGGGTACTGGTACTTTGTAGAAGTGGAGGATATGAAGATATCTTATACTAAATTGCAGAGCCAGGTGTGTTGGTGAGTTTAGGGAGGTGGGATTAAGGTTGCCTATGCGCCTAGATTTCTCTCATCTTGGCATTGAGGGTGGTTCGGGTACTATTATTTCTTTGATTGGATTGGCTATGATTAAAGGGTGATGTAAAGTCTAAACTACAATGTTATCCTTGATTTATGTCCTACAGAGTAGAATCTTGGGAAATGGACAAAACGAAGCATATGTATAGAATAAGCAAAACTTAAAAAGATCATATAGGTAACTTGTGAAACCTTTAAATGTAAGATCAAAGATCAAGGTGCTTACCCTTGGACATACATATCCAAGTATATTTTAACTTGCTGGTTTTTTCTTAATTGTTTTTATAACTTTCTTGAGCACATCTTTCATTGTTGATTCCAATGTAAAGTTAAGGGATGCAACTTCAATCTTGTTTGTCTCTGCAGTGATATTTATTTTGGCTAATCAGTGGTTAAAAAATGGTTCGATTGGCATGTTTGAGCACTCACAGTTGTTTGGAGGTACTTGGCCATGGGCATACCCAGCTTTGTGTTTTTCGTGCGGTTACTTTGCATATGATCAGTGGGATATGCTGCATTATGGATTATATAGTGGTTGGATCCCTTCCATCCTGATGCATCATCTGATACTCCTCATTTGCTTTACTCTTGCTTTGTATCGGAATGTGACCATCAATTACCTTATTCTCACTCTCATTTGTGAGGTACGTTGTACTATCTTCTTAAAAGCTTTCCTATCCCTTGGTGAATTGCTTTTACTTCTTCTGATAATATTTCCTAGTGTTGAGAAAATTGGATCAGTCAGTCTGATCGGTTCAGTATTTCATTAAATTGTTGTAATGTGAATTCTACATGAAACTGATTCTGATATTTCTATTTCTGTTGACAGCTGCATTCTATCTTTCTGCACGTGAGGAAAGTGCGGCGGATGGCAGGTGTTCGCGATGCCAAGAGCAAAATTGTAATGGCAGAATGGGTTCTTAATGTGGTCACCTACATTGTAGCAAGGGCTGGAGCTCACCTACTCATCACCGCCAAGCTCATCTGGGATGCTCCCAAATTCGGAAAGGGCATTGAGCTGCCACTTGCATTGTTTGGGATGTTCGGAATGAACTTTCTGAATGCCTTTCTTGGCATCGATCTCTTCCATGCTTTCAAGAGAGAGAGGAATCCTCAGAATACTAATAGTCATCACGAGTGACAAAGTAAAGGCCAAAAAATAGTTACAGATCTTTTTCGTTTGTGTTGGTTTTTTTTTTGTCGGAATTTTGTTTGTGTTGTTTATTTCATTGATTTTGCACATAAATGGTTGTTGACGAAAAGAATGAGTTATTCATGTGAGAAATCAACAGTGTAAATTATGCGAGCGAGAGTATATGAAGGCATGGTTTGTTTCCCTTGATATTTACTTTCTTAAGAAAATTGTACATGCTTTTAGGTGCCCATTTGTGTTTCATGGTTAAAAAAAATATAGGAATTAAAAAAAGAGGTCCTACCGGGAGTCGAACCCAGGTCGCTGGATTCAAAGTCCAGAGTGCTAACCACTACACCATAGAACCCATTTGAGCATTACGCTGCACCATATCTTATATATTCATAATCATTAGTGCCTCATAGCACGGGAAGTATATTAACACGTGTGCGCCAATTATTTGTCGTTTTCCAATGCTATCGGTGTAGTTCAAAATTCACTCCGACAAATGTCGACGACGGTTTAGCCGCTACGGGTTTAGAAATTCAATTTAAATGTTTTATATATTGAATTTGTCCAATAAGTAATCAACAAGGGGTGGTGGCGCAGTTGGCTAGCGCGTAGGTCTCATAGCTTCTGAGTTATCCTGAGGTCGAGAGTTCGAGCCTCTCTCACCCCAATATATATTTTTTTCACCTATTTTCTGTGTGAAGTTTTCTCCACCTTTATCTTTGTTTATTTTTTATTACATAATAAAATAGCGTTCTTTTTCTTCATTTCAGATCCAAAACCCCCAACTCCAACGCTTTGTTTTGTTTTTTTGGTTGCCAAAATAAGCTTTTTAGGCCATTCAAAATCAACAAAGTTTGCAGTTCTTCCTGTGTTTATTAGTTAAGGGGCAAACCAGTTATGACAATCTTCAATCATCAGTTCTTCCTGCATATTCCAAAACTTATATGCCCCCCAAAAAGGAAAGAGCTGATATTCCAAATTGGAATTCCCTTAGAAATATACTTCACCAACAATTTTGGAAAATGCGTGGTACCGAAACAGGAAGAAGAGCATTTTAGGGCAAATCTGTGGACATTCAGAGCTTGATCCATTACTGTTCATTTGAAAACAAAATGTGCCAATTAATCAGCATTTAATTAGCAACCTTTAAAATACACTGAAGCACTAAATTCTCTGTAATACAAACCCATAAAATCAATTATATCTATTGTTTTTCTCTTCTAAAGAATGAATCTTGGCTAAATTTCTAGTCGTATCCCACTCTTAGTTCGAGAGAAGAACTTTGCGAACCCATTTCGATTCTTCTCAGAACTGACATGAGTTGACAATACAGTAGATGAGGTTGATGAAGATGAAGATGGTGGCGAAGTATCCTCATTTCTATTTACTGAAGGACCACAACTCTCATCGGCTGGTTTTGACACAGAATCTCTTTTAGGTGAAAATGTCACGTTAGAATGAAACTTCCACTTGTCATCAGCTTTAGGAATCTGTGGTGCAACAGCAGAGAACCCTGGTATGTTTGCAGTGTCAATCAGGAAATCTTCTAGTGTTGCTAGAGATTTCAGTTGATTCCCAAGAGATGCTATTGTCTTCTGACACTCGGCAAGCTTTCCAGCAGCTACAGCTAGGTCTTCCTGGAAAATTAGTTGCAACACCACATTAAATTTTACGGCATATTATTTTTGTTTTAACTTGATGAATGATTTGAATAATCAAAATTTAGACATGTAATGTAGATAGTTTCAGTCTTTGATCACCAACCTGCTTTATCTTCAATTCACCATTTGAGCAAGCATTTTTCTGAAGATTGACTTCTTCATTTTTCCTTGATAGCTCTTCCTTTAAACTTTGACATTTGACAGCAATTTCTGCTGATAAAGCCCTCTCCCTTTGAACCTCTGCTTCTAAGAAATTAACCTTAGCAGACATGGTCCGCGCCTCTGCTTCCATGCTAATCAGCTGAGACTCGATAGTCTGTTTTGATTCTCTTGCACTATTTAGCTCCTTTTGTAACTCCTCCAACTTCATTTCTGCTTCTTTTAGCTGAAACTCTGCTGCCTCAAAACATTCTTGACTTTTGGCTAAAGCAGTTTGTAGTTCAGCTTTCTCTACTTCCAGCTTTTCTTTCTCTACTTCCAACTTTTCTAACATGTGCTCTAGTTCGGTTGTTCGATGACTCATAGCTTCAAGTTCAGCTTTCTCTACCTCCAACTTTTCTTTCTCTACTTCCAAATTTTCTAACTTATCCTCTAATTCAGCTGTCCGATGACTCATGGCTTCAAGTTCAGCTTTCTCTACCTCCAACTTTTCTTTCTCTACTTCCAAATTTTCTAACTTATCCTCTAATTCAGCTGTCCGATGACTCATGGCTTCAAGTTCAGCTCTCAAGGCACTTTCTTCATTATTGGACTGATTAATTATGGCTTCTGATTCCAGGCAACTAGTTCCAATCTCAGTCTGTGGCAATGAAGCAAGTCGTTCCATCTCAAGAAAATCATCCATGAGATCAATATCAACAGAAGAGGCCGGCAAATTTCTGTTAACAGCCTTTTCATTCTTGAATTGATCAAGCTCAGCAACCAGGGCTGACGCCCACGAGTCGGAGAAATTCAGGTCACGCTTGTTTGGCTCTGAGACATTCATCTTTTGAGAATCTATCTCCATCATGTTTAGCCGTTCTCCACTGTCCGATTGACTATCCATGCAAGACTCCACATAAATTGAGGAAGCAGCACTGGATTTATGATCATGAACTACAGGTATTTTGCAACCCAAAGCTTTTTGCCTCCGGCACTCAGCTTCAAGCTTTGCAACCTTCCTTATACTCTCCAAGTGTTGCTTACTGGCTGTTTCAGCTGCTTGAGTACTCAAGTCCCTCTCAATTGTCCTGATTTCCAACTCCTCTGCTTGAGACAGTAGCTCAAGCTTAAGGGCTGAGTTTTCTTTTTCCAAAGATTGAAGCTTATGAGAAAGATGAGGATCCACAAAAGCAGAAACTTCAGATCTATTAGCTTCCGCTTTTCTCTGGAGCTCAATAATTTGACTTTCAAGCTTTAATTTGGTAGACTCCCAGTCACGGGCTTTCTTCACCACAGCTTCCTGTATGGCCTGTTCCTGCTCCTCTCTTGCTTGTCTAAGCTGCCTTACACATTCCTTGAGGGCCCCATCAAGATGGCTTACCCGATCTTCCAGGGCTGAGTTTTGCTGCATTGTAGCTTCAAGTTCTAGCTTAAAAACAGTCGTCTCATTTTCAGCCTTCTCCCAGCCTATATTGACATCAAAACTAGATTGTTTATATATATAAAAAGGTGACAACATTATAACAATCATTAGAAATATAGAATTTGTGGTTGAGATTTGGCTAAAATTATCCTAGACGTCCCACTTCACACGATCTCTTAAATTTGGAAACATTATGTGTACAAAACCATTGCACTTAGAAAGTTCACAAATCTTTAAAATCTCATCCTCATCATTATGTGGACAAAACCATTCCTTGTACAGGAGACAAGACACAAGGGTTTCAGAGAGCTGTTCTTCATGTTTAAAAATTTGAAAACAAATTAGCAGAGTGGGTATGTTATATGTCAAAATATTGCTACACACTATTACCTGCAACAGCTTCTTCAGCAACTTTGGCATGCTGCTTCACCAAGTCTTCTTTGGCACTAACATTCACAAGAGCAGCTGATAATCTCTCTGTTAGACTCTTCACACTATCATTAACATCTTCAGCATTGGATGCAGCTTTTGATGTGACTTCGGGTGATTGAGTGTCATGATTAGGAGATGCCTTAAGTGCCTCCTGCTACAATGATAACATAAGAAATAATACTCAAGTTAAACATGCATAAAATCATAGTTCAGATTACATGGACAACAAAACAACACCTAATAGAGGCGCTTGCAAATTCACCCAAAGGTATCTTAAGAAGAGGAAAGGAAATAGCATTTGTTTAATATCTAGAGTGATATGAAACATTATGAAAACTTAAAATCTTATAAATGGTTAAATCAAAGTGGCTGCTGTTATGTATGCAAGCACACAGCCACACTACAAGATACCCTTTGTTTTTCTTTTGAGTGTGTAAGATATCCTCAAATACCAGTAATTATTTAGTTTTGAGGGGCCTGTGTCTGTAAGGTGTCCTCTGAGTACCAATAAAACTCATTTGAAATCAAGTCTCTGCCACTTGAGCTAAGACATGGCGTCGATACCATATCAAGACAAGGAAGGCACTAAAGAAGCAGGAGAGAAGATAACAGATAAGGGGTATCCCAAACAGGAAATGCAACTTAATTGTTTGGTTGCATAAGCAGACATAAATTCCTAATGCAAACCTATAAGGAATGCCAAACACAAATTTCAAACCAAAACAGCCAAATCTGATCTTATAGTTATTTAAAACACTTACTCATTCTATGCAATTAATCAAAATAGACGCAGCTCTAGTACGTTTTAGGAAATTAAGTTATGTTACAAAATGAGAAACAGATGTAGGACGGGAAATCAATCAACATGTGCATGAGGGGAGGGTACTTCATCTGCGTCCTCACGTCATAGACAGTCTATTCCAGACAACAAAGAAATGTACAGAAGAGTATCCATCCACTGAAAAGCAATTTTCAACTTTTGAAGGACATAAAGATTCACCAGTAAAGCACGGCTTTATGTGGAAGATTGATGCCTTGATGGCTAAATATGTGGTAATAGCAAACAAAAGAATAATGTCCAATTTCCAAAATTCCATGAAGACCAAGCAGAAGATGAAATTTTACCGGAAAGGAAGGAATCCCAACAAAAAATAAAGATAGGGAGGAAATCAGTTTAAGTGAATGCAGAGCATTCTCGGTAAATTACTTAGTTAACTGCCCAGAGAACAATTTGTGCAAGCTTTGCAGAAGTAAGATTTAACTCAAATTTTGTGGTGGTCAGGGTTCAGCTACCTACCTGTTCATCAGAGTACCTCTCAGAGTGTGAAGATACTGAACCTGAACTGTCAGTTTCTCCAGAGCTCTTCTCAGAAGACTTCTTCTTCCACAACCACTTGCGATCCATCTAATGTTCTATTGTCCAACTTCCCAACTAGCACTTCACAGAATGTTTATCTGTACACACATCACAATTTTACAGACAAGTCATCAAAAACCCACCACAAATCCTCTTCAAAGTTGCAGGAAACAAAAGAAGCAAGCATAAATAGATATCTAATTTATTGGTTGTTGCTGGAAAGTGGAACTCCAACCAATATAGCCGAGCCTTTTAAAAACAGAAAGCCATGTTCTTTCCAACAATCGCAAGCATTTAAACAGAAAGAAGACTTCGCTTTTCATTCTCTCAGCTTTGCTTCAAATCCACTCCAAAACCTTCTACCCCAACAACAAATATTACGACATTATAAGAATCAAAATGGATCTCTGCATAGCTCAAGAGCACGAATAAGAGTATATATAACACACCCAAACACAGACTTACTTGCTCGCTCTGAAGATGGAAGGATTTGTAGCTCCGGCATCACATCCGACGCAATCAAGTGCTTCTGAAATGCCATAATGTTGTGTAATCACTAAAGAGCAAAGACCCATTTTTTAAATCACAAAAACAAAACTACCCAATTGATAAATTGATGAAATGTTGCAGAATATCCACTTTCAAAAGACAAAATTCGCATGAATACAACAGTGTTTGTACCAGAACATACCCAAAAAGAAATGGAAGAAACCAAATTACCCAACACAAAAGCTCCCACTTAGCAGCAACCCATCAAAGCAAAAAGACACAAAACCCTCCTCACTTACCCAGAAACTCTCAGAATTCAGATGCATATAAAATTCAGCTAAGAAAGATTAAAAAGAGCGAAACCCAGATCAAATACCTTTGACTGGAGGAGACCCCAACAACCTAAAGAGTAGATGGAAGCCAGTAATAACAAGAAGTAAATGAAAAGTAGGTTTCAAACTTCAAACTTGAGACTTAAGATTACAGACCATAATAATGAGGAGCAATAAAATAAGACTGCAAAAATCTGTAGAATGTCAGATAACAACTAAAAGTAGCAGATAATGTGGGTTTCTATTTCTTGTTTTCTACTTTACCTTTTTGGGTACTCGGAAATATAAAAGAAAAAAGAGACGAGCATGTGCTTGTTTGTGGATATCAAGCTGTGAAGATGGAGAGAGTGAGCAGAAACCTCAAAATCCACTTTTTCAGCTTTTCTTTTATTCAAAATTGAAAATGGTTTTCTCTCATTTGTTTATTTTGTGACTGTATTTTGAAATCCAGCTACCCTTATTCCCGCCCATAATCGCGATTGATTATTTGTAGAAAATGTAGCAGCACCAAGTTTTTTATTTTTGAAAATAATATTTTAATGGCAATTAAGTTAATTTGTTGCAATATTCTATATTGCAGAGAAGCTGGGTCCTATTTTCTTGTCGCCAACCAGGTTTTCAACACTGTTCTTTATTGTTTGTATTGGTCACTGGGCCACAGGCATAGTGAAGGAATCTTTAGCATGAAGCCGAGCTTGACGTGGACATCTTCTTGGCTGATTTCATGATCCCATGGAGGAAATTCGAGGCTCGTTTTTTTTTTTTTTTTTTTTTTT